CAGATAACTCTGAAGTGTAAATTTGATGCAAAGGGCCAGACAATGGATAACAAGAAGATGAATATTTTTTGAACATCTCCATAAACTGTTTGCGTTAACACCAGAGGATGACATCCATAGACTTACAGCACCATAACCACTACAATGAGCCATAGTAGTATGGTACTTACAATGCTTTTTTTTCGTAATAATCCTTGATCTTCTAAAAAGCAAAATATAAAACCAAGTTCCTTTATTTTCAGGATTTAGAGAAACAGGCCTGTCAGAATCAGGTCATTTGCAATTTTACCCTGCACTGTTTCTTTAACAGCAGACTTTATTCAAGTGAGTGTCTTACAGCAAGCAATAAACACAAATAAGTCCTATTCAGCATTCTATTTCAGACAAAAATGATACAAATAAATACAATTTAGATAGCACGACAGGATCAATTTAACTACAGGATATTGATTATGTAAACAAGTAATCACACAGCCAGGTTCAAATTATCACACAAAGCAACTGATGAAGTCACACACTATCACCTTAAATTGTCTTTCCATATGCGAGTCTAAACCAACGCAGAGTTACCACATAAAGCTCTGTCAGCTTCAGTGTGTAGGAGGCCATCTTAGAATCATCTGTGAAACCCTCAGTTACAGTTGCTGATTCAAAAAGAAGGCTGCAGAGAGCATGCAATGTCAGCAGCCAATCAGAGTCTGTGATTTGAGGACTAGCTCCCAGCATTCCACTGTGCAGGGAACAAGAAATGGTTCTTTGGAATCTCAAGAGATGGTTATTGGTCAGTGCTCAAGTCATGCCTTTTAATATTTGTGACAGAGATACAATAATTTAATTTAACAGGGGGGGAAAACTGCAGAGAAACAAGGTAGGAAAATAAATGCTTTGTTATGGAAAAATTTATATTTCCTAATAACCATGTTTGTGCCACTAAATGGGCACACAGCTAGTTCCTTATGGGAGTGTATCTATCTATGGATTGTTAGAGTGCAGAATCAGAGCACACGATTTACGCTGAATTTGAATCTAAAGGTTTCACAGACCCTGATATTTTGTTTTGAAGAATTGGCTTGTTTATTAATTCCTCTCAATAGGCACACAGGCAAAGGAAAACCGTTAATAGGCATTGTTCTCCCACGAAAAAAAAAAAGAGATATTTTGCTTAATTTCTTTGTAAGTAATAATTCAAATTGACCTGAGCAAATAATTAATCGGATGATGTATATGATGCCCAACTCCAAACCCATCAAAATATGAAGACGGGTCCAGATGATCCTCAAATAAATTTAGCAATATTTTTTTATTGGCAATAGGCTATAGTGAATTGCAACCTCAAAATTAACAAGCTAGCTTTGATCAATAATGAGTTTAAAATACTGTACTGTGAAAAAAATAAAATAAAGTGACTAAAGCTACTGGAGGACATGTTGAAATGTTTGTCGTTTTAGTATTTGAAAAATGTCAAATGGAAAATGGAAATGGGAGGGCTGGATCATCTGGGTTAATAAATATATGCAACAGGTTACCTGGTTCTGTGCAATTTTTTGACTGGGTTCCATTTTCTGATGCCATAAGCCTCCTATTCCGCCATACTTCCGATGAAATTCTCTGGTCTCCATGAGAGAACCCTGCAAAACAAATAGGAATCACTTACAGCAGCTCATATTTATTTTTACATTCTAACTTAAAGGGTCTCAGTGGCCCAAATCCATCTTTCCTTTGATTTTTGTTTAAAGGGGCAAGCTAGGAACTATAACCACTTCATAAGCCTGGAGTCCCTTGGTGTAGTTCCTCCATTTAGTTTTAAACCATTAATAGTTTAATGCTGAATCTTAGTCATACACAGCACACAGCCCAACATTTATCCTGATTATCAGCCTATCACAGCCGCTCGTTGCTGGTATAAATTGCTATAATGTAAGAATAAAGTGCGCTGTGCCTTTAAGACTCAAAATATTTATAAACCGTGAAAATTTGTGCAATATTGTGCAGATAAAGTGATCAGGTGCATCAATGTACAACTCACTTAAACAAATATATATGCAAATTGTGCAAACAAAATATTTCTTTGTGCAACCAATTATGTGCAAAATGACAATACTTAGCTTTCCCAATTATGGAATATACTTTAGGGCTTCTGTCAGCAATCCAATATACGTCTCAAAAAGAGAAAGGAAATATACAATCATAGGGTAAAATGTACATAAACAATAATAAAGAAAATGTAAACTGAAACACTCACAAGGATAGAGCAATAAAGTCTGCTCTGAACTTTGTAGGCTTGTATTGCAATAAAGTTGGCTGGAAACTGTGGTGAAGTTAAATCCTTTATTGCTTCTTTAAAAATATCGCTGTATTAGGCTGCTAAGTCCCACTTATCTGGTCACCTCTTTGGTTAGTGCTGGTGTATACAGTCTTCATATCGGCGCCGGCTATACAGAATCTATGTGTGCCGAAAAGACTTCCTGAGGAAGTCTCATCTGAGGAAGCCGAACCCCTCTGCGAAACGCGTCATCACGCTCTGTCATTACGCTCACCGGCCGCTAAGCCCCGCCTCCCGAAGTGTTTGGAATCAGGAAGTCTTTTCGGCACACAGAGATTCTATATAGCCGGCGCCAATATGAAGACTGTATACACCAGCACTAACCAAAGAGGTGACCAGATAAGTGGGACTTACCAGCCTAATACAGCGATATTTTTAAAGAAGCAATAAAGGATTTAACTTCACCACAGTTTCCAGCCTACTTTATTGCAATACAAGCCTACAAAGTTCAGAGCAGACTTTATTGCTCTACCCTTGTGAGTGTTTCAGTTTACATTTTCTTTATTATTGTTTATGTACATATTACCCTATGATTGTATATTTCCTCTTTTTGAGACATATATTGGATTGCTGACAGAAGCCCTAAAGCATATTCCATAATTGGGAAAGCTAAGTATTGTCATTTTGCACATAATTGGTTGCACAAAGAAATATTTTGTTTGCACAATTTGCATATATATATTATATATATATATTTGTGTTAGGTGCTTAAGATAGTACAGTATGAAATACCATAAATAAGCGTAGGATGATAAAAGGAGCAAGTCGGTTGTGGTGTGCCGAAACCGACGATGAGGTAGGCCTGAGAAAGAAGAGGGCCCACCCAGGAAAAGAAATAGAAAGGAAATAAATGTTAAAAGTGGTGTGGTGGGAGGGTCATTCAACGCTGACCTCGAACGGTAAGGAGCCAGGCAAGGGGAGTGCCCTAAGTAGGCTAGGGGTAGAAAACCAGCACCTCCCACAAATGCAGGCAAATTGCCTTAATACTTGTGTTAGGTGCTTAAGATAGTACAGTATGAAATACCATGAATAAGCGTAGGATGATAAAAGGAGCAAGTCGGTTGTGGTGTGCCGAAACCGACGATGAGGTAGGCCTGAGAAAGAAGAGGGCAAAAATTAAGTAATCAAATTTATTAACAGTCAACCAATACATATACATTTATCAACCAGACATGTTTATGAAAGCATCCCTTAATTCTTGTACTGGGTTCGGTATGTACCGTGAGTAAGCGGATGACTTCCAGTGCCCCAGTGTTTTGATAACATGAGTTGGGATGTTGACACTGGAGGCTGTGGACGCGGCTCCTATATGAAAGGAGTGTCCTGAGTATTTGTTTGCGTTGAGGCCCAGTTGTGTGAGCAAGGACCTGACGTAGGTCATGAAGGTTGTAGTGGTGAGTACTGCACCTTGTAGTTGTAATAACGGTTGCGAGGGCAGTAAGTGATGGTGCTGTATGTAGGCACCTGATCACTTTATCTGCACAATATTGCACAAATTTCCACGGTTTATAAATATTTTGAGTCTTAAAAGGCACAGCGCACTTTATTCTTACATTGTTCTAATATAGGTGATTGAGCTTTTTCACGATATATAGTGCTGCTTATTAGTATATATTATAGTTTTAAATTCAGCGCCATAACATTACTTGTGTGTTTTATCACTTTATAAATTGCTATGGCTAAAGCGCCACTGCTATAATTTAAACGGAGGTCAGGTACAGGTTAACAGGTATCCTCATTTAAATGTTAAGCCATTTAATAACAATTAAACACTGATGGCTACTGGGGATTCCAAGTACTATAACCACTTTAAGGAGATTAAGTGTTTATTGTGCCTTGAGTGTCCAAAAGAATTTATTTATTACTGAACTGATTTATACCTTAAGAAAGGTAACAAGTCACTGACAAAATGTCAAGCACCAATATTTCCTCAGCGTGTGCTGAACTTCAGTAAGAAAACCCAAATGTATCATCTAAAACATTTTTTATATAGTATATTATATTACTTTTGGACTATTTATGGTGGAAATCGTTTGCAATTTTTAATTTATGAGCAGACTATATTGAGGATTAAATGATTACACTACATACCGACAGGGCCGTCTATAATATGAATAGGACCCCGGGCAAATCCTTTTCTTGGGCCCCCTGGGCCCTGTCACTGCACCCTCCCTCCCCATTACGCCCAACCCGCAATCACACTGACAGACATACTGACACATACACACACAGACAGACACATTAAAACATTTGCAGATACATACTGACACACACATACACTGACACAAAAATATATACTGGCAAACATTGACACACATTCAGACATACTGATACACACACAGACACATACATACTCACAGACACATACACTGACAGATATATTGACACAGACACACACAGACACATACACTGACAGGTGTATTGACATACACAGACATACTGACATACACACACACACACACTGGAACACAGTGAGACATACTGACATACACACACAGACATACTGACATACAAACACACAGTACAGTATGTCTGTGTGTTAGTATGTCTGTGTGTATGTCAGTATGTCTGTGTATGTCAGCATGTCTGTGTGTGTATGTCAGTATGTTTGTGTGTGTATATGTGTGTGTGTGTGTGTGTATGTCTGTGTGTGTGTATGTGTCAGTATGTCTGTGTGTGTGTGTGTGTATGTCAGTGTGTCTGTGTGTGTATGTCAGTATGTCTGTCATAGACACACACAGACATATTGACACAGACATACTAACACACACACATACTAAAACACACACACAGACATACTAACACACACACACACACACACACTAACACACACACACACACACACACACACACTAACACACAAACACAGACATACTAACACACACAGACATACTAACACACACAGACATACTAACACACACAAACACAGACATACTAACACACACAAACACAGACATACTAACACACAAACACAGACATACTAACACATACAGACATACTAACACACAAACACAGACATACATTTAGCCACCCTCCAGGTTCTTACCTTTTTATGGAGGGTGGTTTCCCTGGGGTCCAGTGGCAGGCTGAGGCAGATGGGAGTTCTTCTCTGGAACTCCCCTCCTCCCTACCTTCCTCCTCCCGTGCGGCTATCTCAGGTGGGAGGAAGTGACACGTGGTACTCACTTCCTCCCAGCCGGTACAGGAAGGGGCCCGGTCGCGCTTTTTAAGCGTCACAGCGCCCAACCGGACCCCTTCTGCCACATGCCCACAGGGTGGCCCTTAGTGCATGGGCCACCCGGGGGCCTCCTTAGTTGGCGGGCCGGTGCGGCTGCACCGCCGGCCGCCTGGTACATGGGGGCTGCTGATATCGCGGGGCCCACGGGGCAGCTGCTCTGGGGCCCCCCAGGAGCAACTGGGCCCGGGGCAGCTGCCCCGTTTGCCCCGCGCTAAAGACGGCCCTGCATACCGATTATGGTTACTTCTATATCTAGTTATTAATAGACTTCCATAATGACAAGCAAAATATGAATCAACGTTCACATTTTCTTCTGGATATTTTCTAAACTTGCTATAGTTGGGGTAAATTCCATGCACACACACTTCATTTTAAGAAAACATTTTGCAGATTTAATGTATGCACAAAACACTGTGGTGGAGATTTATTGGAGTCAGAAACAGAAGTTCTAAAAGAAGATCAATCCCTACGGAAACCAATTGAATGTTCCTACTAATCTCTTGAGTTTCCATGGCGATTGCCATAATTTTGGAACTTTGCCCCATTATTCAATTTGCCATATTTTGGAACTCATCCTTATATACGTTAAACAATAATTAAATATCAATAAAAAGTACAGAAAAATGACAAAAGAAATATACATGACTGCAAATATTATAATTTTCTTATTATATATTATTTTTTAACTTATTTTCTTCCGGGTTTTTGTTGCACGGTCTTTAGCTCTTTCTGGTGTATCTTAATCAGTTTACTCAGGAAATGTAAGAAATGCTATAAGTGCAAAATAAACATTATTAAAAACTACATATATAGGTTGACCAATACGGCTTTCCCAAGATAAAATCTATGACACATTGGATTGTGGCTTTCGGTACCAAATTAAAGGAACATTCCAAGCACCGAAACCATTATAGCTCACTATAATGCTGAAACAACTTTTTCATGTCCGGGATACTAGCACACAGTGTCCCATTCAGTACAACATTGGTTGGAAGCTTAACCTACAAGGCTAATTAAGCCCCCAGAATAAAATGTGGATCCTGAAATAACATTTAGCTAGACAGTGATATGGTTTGTTGGCTGCCCATTTAAAGTAGGAGAACTCTAGCCCACTCTTGATGATAAAATCTCAGTGAAGTGGTCTGTCACTTTAAGCCTGCAATTGCAGGGTTAAATGAATGTCTACTGGCTGCTTTTCTGACAGCTAGTGTAGGAGCTTCCTCTTAAAAGGGACACTATAGTCACCTGAACAACTTTAGCCTAATGAAGCAGTTTTGGTGTATAGAACATGCCCCTGCAGCCTCACTGCTCAATCCTCTGCCATTTAAGAATTAAATCCCTTTGTTTATGAACCCTAGTCACACCTCCCTGCATGTGACTTGCACAGCCTTCCATAAACACTTCCTGTAAAGAGAGCCCTGTTTAGACTTTCTTTATTGCAAGTTCGGTTTAATTAAGATTTTCTTATCCCCTGCTATGTTAATAGCTTGCTAGACCCTGCAAGTGCCTCCTGTATGTGATTAAATTTCAATTTAGAGATTGAGATACATTTATTTAAGGTAAATTACATCTGTTTGAAAGTGAAACCTGTTTTTTTTTTGTTTTGTTTTTCATGCAGGCTCTGTCAATCAAAGCCAGGGGAGGTGTGGCTAGGGCTGCATAAACAGAAACAAAGTGATTTAACTCCTAAATGACAGTGAATTGATCAGTGAAATTGCAGTGGAATGAGCTATACACTAAAACTGCTTTATTTAGCTTAAGTAATTTAGGTGACTATAGTGTTCCTTTAAGTAAAATCAAGCTGTCTGGGAATCAAATGTCCTTTTTTACGAGTGCGTCATTTGTATGCGCATGCACATTACCAATCCATAGTTTCTCTTTCTCTGTTTCTCTGAGGCTGTCCCGGTGATAGAAAGGAGATGAGTAATCTCTTTGAAACTCTTATTTTTAGCTGCCAAGGGGGTGGACAGAAGGAAACCGATTGTCCCAAAATATTCTTTGCAGTGACAACTACCTGAAGTCTGCTTACCACGTCATTCTACCATATTACTAAACAGGTTGTCAAACTCGGACTAAGTCTTATTTATGATTCCTTTTTCACTTAGCTTGCCTATGGGTTAGGGTTGGAATATGTTGCAGTACTTTAAGTTAGCTATTAATATCCCTCCCCCTCCATTCACAAGCTAGATCATTACTCTACATATTTTATACATTACCTTACCACATTATCACTGGCTTATCTCTTCATACTTGCTGCATTAATGTCAAATTGAGTCTAGTATCAACAATTTCTGATGTTCATAGCAAATTGTTTGTGTCTTGTTTTACCATAATTGAAGTCCAGTGGGCGACCAGATGGGGGATAGGGCTCACTATTGTTAGTAGTGAGGCCAGAATATGACATTATATCCCAGTCTTATTAAGCTGCGCGCAGAGCAGCAGAGAAGGGACATCACAGCTCCCTCGCCGCCCACCTACTGCAACCAGCCTCCCTCCTCCACGACCCCCCGAGCATGCCGCCATCCTCCATGATCCCCCAGCTTGCCGCTGGCCGCCTCAGCGGTAAGGGGCTAGCATATCCCAGGCGCCAAGGCAAAGATCCAAGGCGCCATGGCGACCTGGCGCCTGAGATTTGTCAAGCCCTGCATTATCTTCATGTAGAGGGTAGAGACACTGAACTCAGTGCTGAACACTGTGCAGCACTGCCCCAGGAAGCACCATATGAGGCGTGGCCAGTGGAGGAATCCCTAAGCTGTAATGTAAACACTGCCTTGTATCTGGAAAAAACAGTGTTTATTGCAAAAAGCCTGAAGGGAATGATTATGCTCACCCGAACAAACGCAATAGGCTGTAGTTATACTGGTGACAATAGTGTCCCTTTAAGCTCTCTGTAAGAGAGCATGGAGAGATAAAGAATGATATTGATACTTTAGAAAGAGTTCAGAGAAGGGCTACTAAACTGGTTCATGGATTGCAGGATAAAACTTACCAGGATCTTAACATGTATAGCTTGGAGGAAAGACGAGACAGGGGGGATATGAAGAAAACATTTAAATACATAAAAGGGAATCAACACAGTAAAGGAGGAGACTATATTTAAAAGAAGAAAAGCTACCTCAACAAGACGACAGTCTTAAATTAGAGGGACAAAGGTTTAAAAATAATATCAGAAAGTATTACTTTACTGAGACGGTAGTGGATGCATGGAACAGCCTTCCAGCTGAAGTGGTAGAAGTTAAAGGACCACTCTAGGCACCCAGACCACTTCAGCTTAATGAAGTGGTCTGGGTGCCAGGTACCTCTAGGATTAACCCTTTTTTTTTATAAACATAGCAGTTTCAGAGAAACTGCTATGTTTATACTGGTTAATCCAGCCCAGAGTTCTTAGTGGCTGTCTCATTGACAGTCACTAGAGGCGCTATGCGTTTCTCACTGTGAAAATCACAGTGAGAGCACGCCAGCGTCCATAGGAAAGCATTGTAAATGCTTTCCTATGCGACCGGCTGAATGCGCGCGCGGCTCCTGCCGCGCATGCGCATTCAGCCGATGACGTCGCAAGCAAGGAGGAGAGGAGGAGTACAGCTCCCCGCCCGGCGCTGGAGAAGGGTAAGTGTTTAACCCCTTCCTCTCTCCAGAGCCCGGCGGGAGGGGGTCCCTGAGGGTGGGGGCACACTCAGGGCACTATAGTGCCAGGAAAACGAGTATGTTTTCCTGGCACTATAGTGGTCCTTTAACACAGTAAAGGAGTTTAAGCATGCGTGGGATAGTATTTAGAAAATTGGCCAGACTAGACGAGCCACATCACATTGTTTCTATTTCTCCTCCTTCTGTACAATGTGTGATATTGCTGTGCCAGGATTGTACTGGACTGTGATGTCTATTGCTAAATCTTAACACATACAAGAAAACGAAGCATCAAATGAATAAAGATTGAAGATGATTTTCAGTTTTATAAAATGGTGTAATTTCTAGACACATGAATCTTCCACTTTAAACATAACTGGAACCTTTGCATTCAAATATGTCAAGTTCCTATGGGATAAAGCTACGTTGGGACCTCAATTATGTTATTCCTTTTAACATAGTTAGAGTGGAAGAAATATAGAAATTATGAAAACAGGCAACATCAGCTATTTTTTTGCACAACTGCAGCAATATTAAACAGCTTGCAGGTTACACCCTGTTAAAAATAATTATACAAATGCTATTTAAGTGTCACAAAGATGAAATATTTTGTTTTTCAGTTTAACTCATGGATGGCATTGTGTCTCAGGGCTCTTTTGATCACTGAAAACAATTTCGGACACCTGTGATAATTAGATTGCCAGGTGAGCCCAATTTAAGGAAAAACTACTAAAGGAAGGTGTTCCACATTATTAAGCAGAGCACCATTTTCATGCAATATGGGGAAGAAAAATGATCTCTCTGCTGCCGAAAAAAAGAGTGAAATAGTTCAATGCCTTGGACGAGGTATGAAAACATTAGATATCACAAAAACTTAAGGGTGATCATCGCACTATTAAGAGATTTGTGGCTGATTCAGAG